CCTTGCAAATGGTTCTCCACCCATGTGCCGATGTCATCTGCTTGCTGACCCCTTGGCTGTCCCAGGATTGCCCCAGCTCAGCTGATGGAGGACCAGAACTTTATAGCCTTGCTGGCACCAATCAGTTCCAGGGCCGTGCTTTTCCAATGGGAAGCTCCTTTTACTTCAGTTTTTCAATTTTTCCCAGCTCGGTGCTTTGCCTTCCATATTACTTTCCTTGACCTGAAGAACAGCTTCAGGGAGGGAGGGCTCATTTGGGCTCACACTTTGCAGGCACTTCCCACTGTGGTGCTGAAGGCACGGTGGCAGGAACTTGAGGCGGCTGGTCACACATTGCATCTGCAGTCAGGACGCACAAAGAGTGAACGCTGGTGCCAGCTCACTTTTCTGATTTTATTCATTCGGAAGCCCTGGTCCATAGAATGGTGCCAGCTACATTTAGGGCGTGTCTTCCCAACCCGTTAGCCCAATTCAGAAACTCCCTCAAAGTCACACCCAGAGGCTTGTCCCCTAGGTGAGTCTAGATCCAGTCAAGTTGACAGTCAGCACTAACCATTACAGCATTTGAGGGAGAGACTGCAGGGTCGAGAGACCCAGGAGCCTGTAAGCTCCTTCCTGATTGCCTAAAAAGTTTTCCTTTGTTCGGGACAGTCTGCTTAAACCACCTTCATGCCTTCTCACCAGCCTTCTGTGAGGTTGGATAGGTGTATGCCCACCGGGGAGATGTGTGCTCATATGGGGATTGGCCTTGCAAGATGTGGGACATGAATTGCGTTCAAAGGAGAAGTAAAGTCATAATGTTCCTTGCTTCCTCTCTAAACCTGTGCCATGGGACTACACTGTCTCTTCCATCTAAGCCAGCAGAGGGTCTGTAGTCAGTCATTGGAGGACAAGAGTGTTGGAGCATCAGTCATTTGACAGCAGGCATTGAGTGTCCCAGGGATGATAGTTTTATATATCTCACGGTAACTCAAGTCCTCCTGGGCCGCCTGCTTGTGAAGGAGATGATGAAGCATGGATGTTCATCAGTTCTGAGAAGTACTGTAGATGGCTCTTCCTCACCCAGGGGCTCTGTAGACAGGAGCAGCTTGGGGGCAGGTGAGTACAGGAGGCACTTGGGCTCAGAATTTAAGAGAGGTACTAGGGGTGTGACTGGTGCCCAAAGAAGAGTGGGTGCATATCAAATTCCAGATTTGCATTGTTGTACAACTTGGAAAGACATGAGCAAACATCTATTCACCCTAAATAGAGTGACAACAGCGGGCTAAAAAGAAATGATACCTACATCAGTTAGCCGGGGACTTTATTAGAGTTATAGGAGTGTGGGTGAGGAGTTACTTAGAAGAGTATGGGTGAGTTAAAGACAGCTGCATCATCAAAAAGTCCACTCCACCAAAGGTGACCCATGAAATCTGTATCCCTGCTCCCTCCATGACTTGCAAGCAGCTAAGTTGGCCAGAGACTCTCCTCAGTAATTATTGCTGCTTGTAGGGGGGGGGGGTGTCTTGTGAATCTTGTAAGTTTCAGGAGTTTCCTGGGAATTGTGAATTTGTTTACTTTCTGAGTCTTAAGGGACCTCCCTTTGGGAAGGAAAGCTTCATTTCAGAAGAAATAGCTATACAATATCCAGGTCTGCTAGAGCTCCTTAAATCCATCATGGACCATCAAGATTGGTCCTGAAAAATGAGACAAGTGTAAGCTTAAAGTTCATGGCCAATTTCACACATTTATTCATTCACTCATCCATTGTCTTTGTAGAGCATGTGCCATGTGACCAAGCGTTTTAGGACCATTCAGCCAAGTTGATGGAGTTTCTGTTCTAGAGTTTACAGGTTAATGGAAGAAATACTGAACTACTTATTGGGTGCACTGATCTAGGGAAATGCTATCAGAAATGCTATAAATAAAGGAGAAAAGACTATGGTATGATCAGGAAGTCTAATTTAAGAAGACTTTTAAGGAGGTCTCTCTGGTATTTCCACAGTAGACTTCAGTGAGTTTGGTTGGTGGAAGAAGATTCTATGGACAGCAATAGGCACAATGGATCTGTAACCTGTACAATGATGTCCTTAGAACCTGGGAACACCTTTACTTATATACAAAAGGGGACTTTGTGGATTAGGGCTGTGAGACCTTGCCCTCTGCTATTGGGATAAGGTTGAGATGAGCACAGGAACCTTCAGAAGCAGAGAACCTTCCCCAGCCACTATCAGAGAAAGATGTAATGATAGATGAAGGGTCAGATCTGTGATATCTGAGGCTGGAAGAGAGGTACACACCCCTCGCTGTAGAGTGAAGTTCTGGGACACTGAAAGATGAGGAGACAGATTTCTCCTATAGAGTTCAGAAAGGATCTTAGACCTGCTGGCACCTGGATTTGACCTAATGAGGCTCATATGGGTTTTGGACCTGTATGCTTACATAACATCTGCACTCTTTTAAGCTATTAGGTTTGCAGTAATTTGTAAATTCAACAAAGACCTAATAAGAGCTTAAAGCAGAAGAAAGCTTGGTGCAGTTTCAGAAGCCTGCAGGTGATGTCTAGGGCGAGTATGACTTGAGAGACAACTCCCCAGTGTTTTAAGCTAGCACAGTGGGGACCGAATAGCCTGCTTTGGATGGGAAGAGGCAAGCATGGAACGGGAGTCTGGAAGACCATGTTGGAGCCCTCACGAAAGATAAAGGGAGTGTGGCTTAGGAAGTCGACAATGAGAAAAGTTCCGGGTTTGAATCTGAGAGCTGTGATGAGGTAGATGGAATCAGACATAACTGATGAGTATAGCGGGGAGATCAGGGGCATGTGGGATCAGTGGTGGAGCCCAGGTTTCTGGTGGGAGTAGTGGTTGACAGCAAAGGTCTTCCAAAGCTAGAAGACTGTCTGCAAAGTCCACCCTACCCAGGATGCAGAGGTAGCCCTGCTCAGCCCTCAGCATTGATTTTAAGAAACAATTGGCACTTCAGAAGCTAATGATGGCAAGGCTTTGACTATGGTTCTTTGATGTTATGAGTGGAAGAAAAACCCATTCAAGGTGTCTGAAGTCCAATGTTAACTTATGTTTACTTTTAAGCCAATAGACAAGAGTACATTTAGCTTGACTGGGGGCTCAGGCCATGTCACAAGGTTTATATGAAAGACTTGACTCCTTTGTGGGGCTCTGTTCACTAACTCTATATGCCACAGCTCTTTGGGGCCAATAATGCCCAGTAAAACTGTGATGATTCCTTCTGTGAACCAGCCCAGCACCATCTCTGCTTCTAGTGACACTTTGAAATGAGACAAGGGAGGGGGCTGCATGGCCTGGCTCAGGTCAGAAGCTCAACTCATTCAGTGTGCTTGGGAGAGAATAACAGGCACATATCCCCAAGTGGAAGCCGGAGGTGCTGCTGGGAATCGTAAGCGTAGACATTGAGCACTCTTTCCAAACATCCCCAACCACTACAGACTCTATTGAGTTACAGCAGAAGTGTACCAAGACTAACACTCTCTGACCCTTACTCCAATGAGGCTGGGAAGAAAGGCTGGGAGAACTGGCTGATGGCAGAATGGATGACTGGCTGCTGTTGTCCATGTATACTGTTTGTAACCACTGAGTTTGGGGCAGCAGAATGTGCTGAGGGCACCACTGGTCCAAGTGGAGGGGTGAACACATCTTTACAAAAGGATCATTGACTAGGTGGCTCCTGCATGTTTCCTTGAAGAGTGTGGTCCCTGTGGCTCAGGTTGCTTCCTCCCCAGCAATCCCCATCCCCATGCTTGAGATATAGACATCTCATCTTCCAACTATGGGACTGGAGGGTTTATATATTCCTGTCCAGCAGGAGATGCTTTATGTGGTGGAGCCCATGGGTGATTGAGGCCCACAGTAGATGTTAGCTTGCTCCCCACCCCAACACACAAAGTCTCTGGTGTACCTGCAATAATGGTTTATCTCTGCAAACCAATCATTCACCCTCCTCATCTGAAGTTGGTCTGTGACTGGGGTATGCTTGTCCCATTGTATGGTAGGCTAAGATGCTGGGGTACTGACAGGTGTTGGGGGCTGGAAAATATTCCTTTATATTCAGAAGGTTACAGCATTGTTTCTTAGAGGTCCCCAGCGGGTAGTGGTGTGTTAGCAAAGATCCTCGATTATATAACCAGATCCCTGTCCACCCTGACAGTTGAGAGGCATAATACTCTAAGTGTGGCCTTCTCTAAGGGCACTTTACTCCATATAGGTTGGTGCTCCAAGAACCAGCACCCTTTGACCCTAACTCCTGGTCTCCCGTCTCTCTGCCCTGGCAATCCTGGTCTCCAGGGATCTGAGAGTGCAAGAATCGTGCCCTCTGCCTGCCTCTCTAGGCTGGTTCTACATTTGTTCAGACAGGGCACCCTGGCTCCAGCAGGCCTGTTCAATTAGAACCAAGTGTTGACATCACACTGTAAGACTCTCGCTTGGGTGATGGGTTAAGCAGATGGACAAATAGACTGTACACTTCCTCCCCTGTAGCATTTCCTTCACAGCTCGCTCATCTGCTGCTCCCATATTCACACCCCAGAGCACTCACTATCTAGGCTGCTCTGCAGGAGGACCCTTAAAAATAGCATTTCTAAGATGAAACAATGTCCCTTGTTTGGAAATAAGCAGAGCTTATAAAATATGTTCCTGTGTTTTCCTGGATCAGGGAACAATGTGGAGTCTGGGGACTTATTTACAATGAAGAAATTGTTTTTGCAAATAGTGAAATGGAAGGATTGTTTTTGGAGAGCTGAGTAAAGGAGCTATTGTTTTTTTAGTAATTGCGAACACAGGCTGGAAAAGGGTGATTTTACAGAGAACAGAGGCTCAGAGAACGTGACCGTCCATTTCTTTGGGACAGGCTAGCTAGGAAGAAACCATCAGACCCTGTGTTCTCCCCTCCCCATCTTTCCCAAACTTACTTCATCTTTTCTGCTCCAGCCCTCATCAACGAGCACACATTGGCGGTCCTCCCATCACTGTCCCCCAACCCAGGCTTACCTTACACTGGCCCCTCCAAAGCCCAGCAGCGGGCTGTGAGACTTTCCTTATCTCCACCAAGGCTTTGCTTCCAAGGAGCTCTCGGCACGTAGACAGAATGTCTCATTCGCTCAAGCCTGTGACCCAGAGGAGGACAGACTATCTCAGGCTTTGTCACATGGAAATGGCAGCCGAATCCAAGGTCTTTCCATCGCCAGCATCACATTGTAGGAACCTCCCTGGGTGGCAATACCAGGGCCCAGACAGGGTATGCCTAGCAGTAAAACCTCACTCGCGAGAAGCTCCAGCAAGTGCGTGTCTGCCTCTGGGAAGGTATGTCCACACTCACCCAAGGCCAGCTGTCACCTTCCAGCCCCTGTGCTTTAAGAAACAAAGAGATGAACTTTAGTTATTCATCATATAAGTGAAAGAAGGGGCTTAAATATTTGCCTAAAATATTTGCTCCATGAATATCATTCTAACCCTTGAGATGCTGAAGACTTTTCTGTCTTCCTTGAGTGGATGGGGAGTGGGAATATCTCTAGAATGTATGTGAACTTCCTGAGAGACACACTATGGAAATCACTAAAGCTGAGACATCGGTGGCCTGCCCTTAGAGACCTGTGCAAAGCATGGACATGAGAAGCAGCTGGTGAGGCAGATGTGTGTCTTATATTAGGTATAGCCCTGACCAACGCCCCTGTTTCCTTACATGCTTTGTATTGAAAGTCGCTGAGGCTCCCACTCAAGAGTACTCTGTAGTTGGCATGTGTCTGCCCCACTGTAGGCCAGGCTAGATGTTAGGTAGGAAACACTCAGGGGATGAGCAGCTCTCCGAGGCTCCTGGACAATGTCGAATCCCAGAGGTCCTCAGCAGGAATAAAGGTGAGAAAAGGGGACCAGCTCTCAGGAAATGAGCACCAATAGTCCCTGAATTCATTTTCTGTACCCATTCTGGGGCTGTAAACATTCCCGGTATAGTTGAATCCAAGGTATTGGCCAATGGCATTGAATTCAGGCCTGGGAAAGACACAAACATACCTGATTCTTTGGAGTAAGTTCCAGTGGCTCCTACACATCCCTGGCAGGAGGTTGGAGGTCCAGTTCCCCCAGGTGACCTACTTACAAATGTGCTGTATATCCGACCTTCTCTTCCCTGCCTCAATTCCCATGACCTTGCCAGAGCTTCCCAGGATCCTCTCAAATAACACTGTGAGCTAGATACTTGTTTCTACACCACACAGGCAAAAACTGAAGAAGATAGGCATGGGGAATAGTGGAGCAACCTGGGGACTCTGCTTGGTTTGGTCTGCATATACATTTTATTCTTATTTTTCAAGGTTAACTTGATAACCTTGGACTCACATCTGCATGCCCCATGTACACACCCCTCTTCTAACAATGCACTCGGTAACCTTGGACCCACATCTGCATGCACCATGTACATACCCCTCTCCTAACAATGCACTCGGTAACCTTGGACCCACATCTGCATGCACCATGTACACACCCCTCTCCTAACAATGCACCTGGCAAACTAGGACCCCACCTATACCAAGCTATGAGAATACTCCATTCCAAACAATTGAATACGTTTCTCCTCCCCTGCCAATAAACACAGAAAGTTTTCTATTCAAATGCATTGCCCGATATATTTAAGTAGAAAAATAAGGAGGCCAATCTGGCCTAAACTAGTTTTGTGTATATGTGCACTAAGGCAAACTCTTGTCTAAGGAAACCTTTAGGGAAAGTCCCCTATTTGCCACCTTATACCTATGTATAACTGGCCCTGCATAGGTCAAAACCAGATGCATTTTGGGAAGAGACATGCCCAACAGAGAAGGGGTTATATAATCCACCTGTCAATTAAAATAGAGAACAACTCCATTACTCCGCTTTTGTAACATTCCCTCCTTCCTTTCCAGACACTGGTAGAGAAGCCCCAGGCAATAACCCGGGGCCCTTGAGTCCCCTCACCTATGTGGCCCCTGTCACTCCTGACAGCAGTTATGATCTGTACTATTGATTTGCTTTAAATAGTTCCCCTGCTACTTCACAATCTCTGTGCTCTTCTTCAGTTTATTGATTAAGACGGCAAGAACCCGAAAACACCTGTCCAGATGTGGAACACCAGTTAGAGCACTAGGCATTCTCCCAAGCTATTTTCTTTAGAAAGAGTGGTCTCCAGTTCCCAGTGAATGGGGTAGCATGAGGTCTTGAGGGTCTCTGGCCTGTCCTTCAGCACCCCTCTCTCCTGAACCAGTGTTCCCTTGGGTTTCCCCACAATTGCCATCGTTCTGGTTTGGCTCCTGAGTTGCCTGCTCCTGGCATCACTACTGGTTGTACTTCTCATTCCCTCCATCATTTCTTCAGGCTTAATTTATGCCCAGCCTTCCCTGAATGCAGCTCCTAGTCTCTTGGGGCAGAACCAACTCATTCCTTATTTCATTGAATTGTTGGCTCTTGAACACAACATTGGCCAACTCTTGGCTTGTACAAATTTAGCTTGTGTCTGTGTCCTTTCCTGTATCCTGGTATCCTGAAGAACAAGGAGCAGGATCTGAACAGAGACCCTCTACCAACCTTGCTGTGTCTTGATAATAGACACTTGCTGTGATAAATTGACCCAGCACCAGTGTGGTGGTGAGTTTTAATTGTCAACCTGACAATCTGGAGTCACTTGGAACCTCTGGGAATGACTGTGAGGAACTACCTCAGTTATGTTAATTGACGTGGGAGGACCTGTCCCTCTGGGCAACACCATTCCCTGGGCTGAATAACATAGAGCTGAGCACTGGCTTGTATTCCACGGCTCTCTACTCTTGACTGTGGATGGAATGGAACCAGTAACTCCTGCCACTGTGAACTCCCTACCAGGACAGACTGTAACTTGGAACTGGGAGCCCAGTCATGTGTTTCTCCCCTAAGCTGCCTTTGTCAGGGTATCTTATCACAGCCACAGGAAAAGAAGCCAAGCAAGCCATCCAGAGTTTTGTTTTGGTTTGTTGTCGTTTGTTTTTCTATGTTTCAGTTTTACTTTCCCGTAACTCGCAGCCATGAGCATTCTGGCTGGCACAGTCACAGGGGCACGGCCAGGGTAAGCAGGTCAAGGAGGTGCCTTTTGCTTTCTGCCCAAAGTGGAAAAATACTAAGGGCTAAGGAAAACGGTCCAGTTCTCCTCCAAGTATGTGCTAGGAAGCAGAACAGGTGATAGCATCAGGACACCCACATCTCCCTCTGATGAGCTGGCCAGGTCACCTGGTGGCCACCGCAGCCCTGCAAGCACCCCCTGATGGGCAGGATGCTGGCGATGGTCACTGCTTCTCCGGTTGTATCACCTCAGGTGCATCCAGGACCTGGAGCTCCCCGGGGATCAAGAAGCTTTGTCTGAACAGTGTGGGCCGGGACTTGGTAGTCTCTCTCGGTCAGGTGAAGAGATTTGAAAAGGCCATTCGACTCCCCAAACATTAGCTTCCCCTTCTGCAAAATGGGAATAATTGGCTAGTCCCTGTCCCTTAGGATTTAGGGCTTCAAATGAGGTTTTTATTTTTTATAATATATGGAGGGTTTTCATATCTGGTACAGGAAAGAACCAGATATACCAGCTTTTATTAAAATCAAACATTGGCCAGGCTCTGTGCTAAGTTTCAAGAAGAATGATTTGGACAAGATGCAGCTCTCACCCTTAGGAAGCCCAGGGTTCATGGGGGAACAGGGGAAATGCACCTGAAATTGCATTTCAGCAAGGATGCTAAGGATCCGAGGGTGAGGTAGGTGTGTAGGAGTCTCAAGAGCCAGGGACCGGTCTGGAATTCCTCTGACTTCTGATAAACCATACTTGTTTAGTCTAAATTCTGTCCTTTGCTGTTCCCTCTCTGACATAGTGGAGGCAACAGGTGGGGTCAAACCGACCATGACAGGGAAGTTGGGGGAGTGGAAACATGGGGGTCTGGAACCATCCTCCACTGGAAGCCCTGCTCCTGAAGACAGGAAGAGGGGGTCAGGCAACCCCCTGAACTATCTTAACCCCTCCACAACTCCATGGATCACTGCCGGCTCCTTTAAAGAACATTCTTAGTCAGGTGAATCCTTGGGCTTTTGCCACCAACTTAAGTTCCTTGATTTGCACAATCCAGGAAATAAATCATAAAATGGGAACTTCCTTAGTCAATTTTTACTATCTCTTGTAACCAAGATGTGGAAAAAAAATGCTTTTTACAGCTAATGATTTGATGGTTTGCAAGTGAAGGAATCTTCTTCCCTGAGGTTCTTGGCCACATCAGGAGATGCTCACACCCATGGAGAGGAGGCATGCCACTGGCATCTCTTGAGTGGAGGCCAGCAAGGCTGGGCTTCCGAATGTTCCATGATGCAGAAGACACACCTCACTGTGAAGGATCCTGTATCCCAAGATGGAGATCCCGCTGCATTTGAGAAGCCAAAAGAGGACTAGGGAGATGGCTCAATGTTTAAGAGCACTGACTGTTCTTCCAAAGGACCCGGGTTCAATTCCCAGTACCCACATGGCAGCTCACAACTGTCTGTCCAAGATCTGACACCCTCACACAGACAGACTCATGGCCAAGACACCAGTTCACATAAAAATAAATAAATAAATAAATAAATAAATAAATAAATAAATAAATAAATAAGAAAGAAATAGAAAGAAAGAAAGAAAGAAAGAAAGAAAGAAAGAAAGAAAGAAAGAAAGAAAGAAAGAAAGAGAGAAAGAAAGAAAGAAATAGAAAGAAAGAAAGGAAGGAAGAAAGAAAGAAAGAAAGAAAGAAAGAAAGAAAGAAAGAAAGAAAGAAAGAAAGAAAGAAAGAAAGAAAGAAAGAGTAAAATAAAAAATAAATAAATAGAAACCAAGAGAACAAGGATAGGAGAGTTGCACGTTGGTATGTGAGAGAAATAGTGAGATACGTGGGTTGCCTGTGAAGAAAGCTTCACTTCTCAAAGACCAGAGAAGGTAAAGAAGTGGGACATTACCATGCCACACTCCATTACAGTAGGATCAGACCTACTGGTCTACCCAATTCACCGGTGCAAATTATGTTTAGTTTCTAATTGGGGTGGCTGAGAAACACAGGCCTATGAAATCAATGAAGATTGCATCAGGCTGGCCAGATGACATTCATGGGCACCAGAGGCCATGTTGAAATGGCTCCTGGTGAGTGGTGGAAATCTAGGCTTCAGCTTTCCTAACAAATCAGTCCTTGGGCTGGGGAGATGGTTCACTGGGTAAAGTGTTTGCTTTGTGAGCAAAGGAACTGGCTTTGGATCTCCAAGCACTCACATAAAAGCTAGACAGAGCAGCATGCGCCTGTAACCTTGGTGCCTGGGTTGGGGGTGGAAGCAAATAGACCCTGGGAGCTCACTGT